TAAAGGAAGCTGAGCGCCCAAGAATTGATGTTTTCGAATTGTGGTGTTGGAGAAGACTCTTGAGAGTCCCTTAGACTGCAAGGAGATCAAAGCATTCAGTCCTAAAGGAAATCAACCCTGAATATTCATTGGAAGGACTGCTGCTGAAGCTGAAGCTCTAATACTTTGGTCACCTAATGCGAAGAGCTGACTCACTGGAAAAGACCCTGATACTAGGAAAGATTGAGGGCAGGAGGAGAAGGGGGAAACAGAGGATGAGATGGTTGACTGGCATCACTGATTCAATGAACATGAGCTTGAGCAAACTCTGGGATCAGTGAAGGACAGGGAAGTCTGGCATGCTGCAGTCCATGGGGTTGCAAGAGTCAGACACGACTTAGTGACTAAACGACACGCACCGAACTCTGCCTGGTCCAAGACCACCAATGACCCCACTCCCCGTGATGCTTGCTATAGTCTTACAGAGAGCTCCTTTTCCAGGAAAACAAATTTTTTGAATTTCCCATGTGGCCTGTTGTGACATTTCTTGTGAGCAAGGGGGGATGCTGGTCTTGTCACTAAGAATGTTTTCCACCTGAGCTGAGTCCCATGAGTGAATTCATAAAGTTAGTGGAGGTCACAGTCATCACTGGCCCTGGGATAAGCCATCTTTATCACTCATCACTCTCTGTGAAATCTCATCTGATAGCCACATAGAGTGGAGATGCTTGAAAAATATAGAAAGGTGTTGGAGTTGCTTTCTTAAAAGCCCTATGAACCATAATATGGTGAATTTCACCCACCTTTGGGAGAAGTTTCAAGACGGTGAGCTGCCTATGGTCAGTGGTTCAAGGATGGAACTGGATGGGCAGGTCACACAGCCCAGTGACTATCCTCCCTCCAGAGCACCACCTGCCTGGCTTATCAGGCCATAAATATTCTAATTAGGAGGGAGGCAGATGAGCAGGATTAGCAAGAGGGGCCCCTCCGATGATGGGGATGCGAGAGACACTCAGCCGCTCCTGTGTCACCCCAGCTCTCCTGACATTTTAATCATGTAGAAATGCTCGATTTACATAGCTCTGCCTAATTAGACACAGTGGCAATTATGTTTGTGGATTTTATTCCTTTCTAAAGACGACTTACTCTGCAAACAGGAAGCCAGTTCTGAAAGAAGTATCTGCAGTGTTTCCCTGCCAAGGGGAAACCTCTGTCCACAGGAGTGGGGGTGGGGGTGGTCAGCATCCTTCAAAGAGAGCAGAAAGGCCCTGCCCATGGTCCTTTGTACATTTAGTTCATGGGTGTCCAGACAAAACCACAGGTCAAGTTGGAAAACCACACGGGAAGGGCACGACAGGCTGAGTTCCCACCCAGCGTGGGTGCACCCTCCACACGTGCAGCCGAGGCCCTGCAATGTCTGTTTCTAAGTCGAGACATACCAGCCACTGCCAGAGGAGTCTGGCATCCAACCCACAGAGGGCAGCTCAGGACAGAAAGAGGACAGTGTAGTGGATGGCGTCCCCAGCAACTGGGCACTGGCTGCCCCAAGGGGCTTGTCTTTAGTGCAGTTAGTATTGGGAGTGCATGGTACACAGTAGGTGCCCAGTGAACACCACCTTGCTCCCTCCCTCTCCCCACCCTCACGTGAATGACCATCTCCCTGGGGGAGGCTCAGAGCAAGCCCCCCAACCCTGTGTGCATTCTCTGACTCACCCCCTTTGTGACTTCAAGCCCCAGGCCACCATCCTCATGCTCCTGGCTCCCACTGGTCCCAGGTGCCTGTGTGGCCCCAGACAGGATGGCTGTGGTCCGTCCCTCTGGGCCACCAAGCCTCCAGCTCACTCATCCATCCACACTGTGTCCTTATCCTGGCCTCACATGACCTGGGCCCTGGGGATGGAGCCTTTTCTTGGCCCCTCACCAAGTCTCTCCCTGTTCCTCACTGGAGCTGGGGACACTGGCCACCCCCTTGGGTCACATGTCTCCTTGTGGGGACATTGCCCTGATGGTGGGACGCAGGGGTGCTGGGAGAGAGGCTCATGCATATGTCATGGGCCATGCAGACCCATAGGAAGGGACCCCCAGCAAAGAAGAAAAGTCCCCGGAGTATCTGCCCCACACTGGGCTCTGTAGGAACTGCAGGTTCAGTGAGAGAAGAGGAGTCTGGGGGGCTTCCCTGAGGAGGTGGCATCTGGTGAGAATACGGGAAGAGCCAGATGGGAGAGGCCAGTGAGTCTGGAGGCTGGAGAGGGGTGGGGGTGGAGACAGAAGCCAGCATGGTGGTGGTGGTGGGGCCAGGCCGCGCGATACCAGGGCCGAGGAGCTCAGGCGTGGGGGCCTCAGGGTGCTAGTCCTGCTGCCCTTGTCCTGGCCCACCCTACCCTTCGCTCTGTCTGCGGGGCTGCCCTTTCCTGGGCTGGGCCCTCCCAGGCTGCCCCCCGCACACCCGAGGGCTCGTCCTGCAGTGGGGAAAGGAGTGGCCAACAGCTGTCTCAGGATAATTGCAGTCCTGGTCCGTGGATGCACTAATTAGTGCAGACAGCTTCTGCTTAATTATTTCACTTGACCCGCTTAAGATTCAGCAACCACCTGCTCTGGGGGGAGGTGGGGGGAGGAGATTTTGGGGGCGGAGCCGGTGGGGTGCCCATGACTGACCCAGGAGCGGTCCCAAAGGAGAGGCCTGGTCTCAGGGGCGGGACTGAGCCAATCAGAGGCCAGAGGACACTGGGATGGGCACGGCCTGGGCTGTTTCTTCCTGTTCGGCTGGGTCACTGAGAACTTGAAGCCAGGCTGGTCCCAGAACACCGGCTGGCCCATCCCGTGCCGGGCAGCCAGCCAGGTGCTGCAGAGCCCAAGGAGGGGGTATGCAGGAGGGGGTACGCACACCGAACTCTCCAAGAGGTACCCCTGCCCCCTCCTGGGCCCAGAGTGGGCGGCTGCTTCAGGGTCGGTTGCCAGACAGAGCAACCAAAAACAGCCTGCTCAGTTAAATGTGAACTTCAGACAACGACGGACAGTTTGTAGTATGGGGGCCGAGCTCCTCCTGAGCTCTGAGACCCTGTGGCCCTGGGCAACTAAGAGCCCTGAAGCTTTGCCTTTCTCATCTGGAAAGGTTCCAGGAGTCCTCCCAGGGCAGTTTCAAGGACTAAGATGTGACAATGCACACAGTGCTCGGCCCATGCTGGGGTCCCTGGGGCGCCCCACTGTCCAGAACAGGCTCTGCCATGCATGAGCTCAGCACACACTTGCACGAGTAGCAGGCATGCCCACACCTCCTCCTGCTTCTGGCTGACCACCCATCCTCTGTCTGTCCCACTCCACACCTGCCCGGGTATTCGTAGGTAAAGGCAAACCAGGGACAGCCCGCAGGCCACTCACAGGGGAAAGCAGGGACATGGTGTTTAGAGCTGCCGTGCGCCTTCGGAACGAGCACCCCCCCCCACCTCTTTCCCAGCTGGGGTCTCCCTGCTCTGCATAAGGCCCCTTGGGTGCTGCCCTCTCTCCTCAGGCAGAGGCCCTGGAAACACCTCTTCTCTCCTCCGAGCCTGAAGCTGCAGCCAGGCTCCCAGCAGGACCGTGTGGCGGGCTGCTCATTATCTCAAACAGGGCAGGTGATGGCTCAGCAGGCTGGGCGACTGGGGCCAAGGGCTGGTACCACCTGCTCCCGCCTCTCTGCTTCCTTCACCTGAAGTCCAGGCTCATCTAGCAATGAGCAGGGGCTCTTTAGAGGTGCAAGGTTGTGCTGGGCAGGGGAGTGGATCTGCCCCCTGGGTGAGGTGGGTGGGACCTTCTGCTCTGCCGGGCTGGGGCCCAAGGTTGCCAGGATCTTGGACTCATGGTCTCCAGCACTGAGAGAGGACATACTTCCTTTGTTAGGACAGCCCTGGGATGCTCATACACACCCTTCCTGAGAGAACGGGGCCTCTCTGGATGCCAGCCCCCACCAAATCCTTTGTGGACATCACATGACGCCATTTCCTTATAAGCCACACCACTACCTGGACTCATTTATCTTGTGGGGATCATCCCCCCTCGCCCACTCCTCCCTGCTGTGAAGTCAGCCCCACACAAACAGTCACCACTTGCCCTATCCACTACTCTCTGTCTGGCATCCTTGGTGGTTTCCAGCACAAAGTCAGTGCTCAGTGAAAATTTTTGATTGAAAGGAGGAGTCTGTGGGGTGGGAATCTGTGATTGCTCAGAACCAGTTAGACGTGTGGTGTGCAGTGTTCAGAAAAAGCGGGTCTTTAGTCCCAAAGGGGAGGAAATATAACTGATTATATCAATGTCCAAGGCTCAGAGCAAGGCCACCTCTTCTGAGAAGCCTCTGACTTCTTCATAATTAGCTCTACCTCATCCATTCACGACACCTTGTGGACACAGTCCACTGCCTCTACATGCAGTCCATTGCATATACACATGAACTACTGTATATACATGTGCAATCCACTACACACACATGTGATCTACTGTATATAAACACATGATCCACTATACATAATGTGATCTTCTCCATATTCACATGCAATCCACTATATATACATGCGAAACCAACTACTTATATATGTGATCCACCGAGTATACACACGGTCCACTGTATATACACACAATCCACTTCATATCAACATGATCCACTTCATATCAACCCATGATCTACTTCATATCAACACACAATCCACATCATATAAACACACGATCCACATAATACACACGATCCATATAATATACACAATCTACTTCATATAAGCATGTGATCCAATCATATAAACATGTGATCCACCGCATACAAACACATGATCCACTTTATACGAACGTGACCCACATCATATAAACACACGATCCACACCATAAACATGTCATCCACTGTATTTACACATGATCCCCCTCCTCCGTCCCTCCGGTGGCAGCAGCAGAGACCACCATCGTTCCACCCAGGCCGGTGGTGGCCTCCCTCTGGGCCACCCTCTCCCACACAGACTGCAGCGGGGAGGCCGTGGTCCGGCCCCGCAGCACTGCCTCACCTCTCGGTCCAGGCCAGCGGCCACAGTCACGATGTCGCCCGTTTCACTGTTGATGGTGAACATGTTCTGGGAGGGGCTCTGCGGGGTCTGCGTCACGATCCGGTAGCGCACCATCCCGTTGGCCGTGGTGGCGTCATCCGCGTCGTTGGCCGTGACTGTCATCACGTAGGTGCCTGCAACAGAGACAGGCAGCTCCTGGGGGACTTGCCTGCCATCCCCGCCGCTGACCCTCACACACACCCCGGCAGATGTCTCCCACGATCATGTCTTCCTGGAGGCTGGATGTGGTGCGTGTCCTTCTTCACCTGTGGGCTGGGCCGCTGCCAGGCCCTGGGAATGTGTCCGTCCCTCCCCCCACCCCCAGATCCCCCTGGAGAACCACGGGGGTGGGGTCTTCTTCCCAGGTTCAAGTCTGCTCTGAGGTCGCTGTTCTGACTTCGTCAGGAGAGGGAGCCACCCAGCATCAGCACAGCCTGCAATTCCGGCTCAAAACCCTGCATACTCCCTCCTGAGCCACACAGCCCAAGGCTCTGGCCGGCATGGTGGGGGCTCAGCACATAGTAGAGAGACAGGGCTGTATCCAGAAGGTGCCTAATAGGCACTCAAGGATGCTAAGTGAGAAGAGACCCCTCAGAGGGGATGCTCTGCACACGGGATGCAGAAGAAGGTGCAGGAAATTCAGAGTGTGCGTGCCCAGAGGTGGCAAGTACCTACACCCTCCCTTGGCTCAGCGCCCGTTCCCCACCAGGCGCCAGGGTTGGGGTCTGCAGAGGACACCCCAGGATAGTCCCCTGCCTCCTGAGAGCAGGGTGTGGTGTTCCTATTGGCACCCACCCTTCTCCATTGGGAGGCCCTGGCTAGATCAGCATGCCCCGCATCCCTGGCCACAGCGATCAGGTTAGCAGTGGGCACTGTACCCAGTCAGAGCTTGGGTGCAAGGAGATGTGCTTTTTGGGGTTTCTAGGAATTCAGTGTGCCATCCCTGCTCCTGGACTTGGCTGGGCTGGCCTGTGAGGTTGGGGGCTGTGGTCACTTTGTGGCAACAGAGATGGAAACTGGAGGACAGGGCCACCTCAGAGGAAACAAAGCCATGGCAGGCTCAAGTGACCACCTCTCACTGGGCAGCCCCTGGGTCAAGCTGCACCTGAAGCTCTTATCTATATACAGAAACAAATGAAGACTTTTCTTTATAAGGCAGTTTTAGGTTCACAGCAAAATTGAGGGGAGGGTCCCTTACAGATGCTTTGTACACCTGAACCAATATTCGAATATATTCCCTTTCATGTTTTATGCTATTTTAGGTTTCCCTGGTGGTTCAGATGGTAAAGAATCTGCCTGCAATGCAGGAGACCCGGGTTTGATCCCCGGGTCAGGAAGATTCCCCTGGAGAAGGGAATGGCAACCCACTCCAGCATTCCTGCCTGGAGAATCCCATGGACAGAGGAGCCTGGCGGGCTATAGTCCATGGGGTCACAAAGAGACATGACTGAACTAACACTACACTACCTTTGTTGCTTGCAACGAGGAGTTCTGACTGGCATGGGCTCCCAGCCCTGCACCTGCCCCTGGGGCATACTGCCTTTGTCCTCATCTGCATGTTCTTGGTTCAGTTCCTTGTTCCCAGATTGTTCCAGTGTGCTGTCAAGGGCCCACAGGGGTGAGGGAGTGTGGGCACCATCTTCCACTGGGTCCTTTTTGGAGGTGGTGGCTTATGCTGAGGCTGAACTTGGCTTGGGGCTGGGGAGGCCTCCAGGCCTGTTGGGATGCAAGGTGGTAATGGGCGGGGGGCTTCATTCATCAGACATATGCTAGGCATTTGCTCTGGCCTGGTGCTGTGCAAGGAGCTGGGTGGACAGTGGTGGAGACACTTCCATGGTCGAGGCAGGGGTCTCTCCTGTATGCCCCCAGAGTCTCTCATGTACGAGGTGTGTGCCCAGCAGGCCCTCTTGCGTGCCTGTCCAGCCTTCCCCACCCTCCCGTCCAGGGAGGGCCTGACACAGAGTCAGTTTTACTGTTGGCTTTAACTGAATAAAAGTTTTTTTAAAGGCAGATGCATTTTATGGAAACAGAAAAGAAGGCAACAGCAAGAGGAAGGTGGAAATCTGTTTTACAGGGTTCTGGTTTTCTGTCCTCATCCTCCAACCAGAGACAAATGGGCTCAGGACCCGCCTTTTCATGACTGAAAGACAGGACATCCTCGCTAGGTGGGGCTCGACACTGCAGGAGGCAAGGAGCTCCAGGCCTGCAGACCCTGCTGCCCACTCATAGAATCCTCAGATTTATATAGGTTTTTTTTTTTTATCAACATGTGATCCACGCATCAGAAAATTCACCCTTTTAAAGTGCACAGGTTAAAAAAAAAGTGCACAAGTCAGTGTATTCTGGCATATTCAGTTGTTGTGCCATTGTCAGTACATAGTATCTGATTCCAGAGCATTCCGTCATCCTCCCAGAGAAATCAGTGTCCACTAAGAGTTTTGCCACATCCTCCTTCCCAGCCCCCCGCAACATGCGTCCACTTTCTGTTTCTATGGATCGGCCTCTTCTGAACATGGCTTATAAATGAAATCATATACCATGTGGCCTTTGCATCTGGTGTCTTTCTCTGAGGCTAATGATTTCAGGGTTCATTCCTTTTTGTGGCTGAATTCCAGTGTATGGGGATGCTTAGCTCTCAATTTCCTGGTAGCTCAGTTGGTAAGGAATCCGCCTGCATTTATAATAGCCAGAACATGGAAGCAACCTAGATGTCCATCAGCAGATGAATGGATAAGAAAGTTGTGGTACGTATATACAATGGAATATTAATCAGCCATTAAAAAGAATACATCTGAATCAGTTCTAATGAGGTGGATGAAACTGGAGCCTATTATACAAAGTAAGCCAGAAAGAAAAACATCAATACAGTGTACTAACACATATATATGGAATTTAGAAAGAAGGTAACGATAACCCTATATGCGAGACAGCAAGAGAGACATAGATGTATTGAACAGTCTTTTGGACTCTGTGGGAGAAGGCGAGGGTGGGATGATATGGGAGAATGGCACTGAAATGTGTAAAATATCATATGTGAAACGAATTGCCAGTCCACGTTTGATGCATGAGACAGGGTGCTCAGGGCTAGTGCACCGGGATGACCCAGAGGGATGGGATGGGGAGGGAGGGGGGTTCAGGATGGGGAACACATGTACACTCATGTAAAGTAAAAAAAAAAAAAAGGAATCCGCCTGCAATGCAGGGAACCCTGGTTCAATCCCTGGGTCAGGAAGATCCCTTGGAGAAGAATTTTCTACCCACTCCAGTACTCTTGCCTGGAGAATTCCATGGACAGAGAGCCTGGCAGGCTATAGCCCATGGGGTTGCAAAGGGTCAGACATGACTGAGTGACTTTCCCTTCACTTCACCCCTCAGTTACTGACTGAGCACTTTTTGTGTGCAGGCACCAGGCTCTGTGCTCAATGCCTAGAGAACAACCATACAGACATGGTCCCACCCCTACCAGGCCAGTGAAGAGGGTCAGAACACACAGGAGAGACACATCATTGGCAGCTGGGATAAGGGCTTTGAAGTGGGTAAGAATGCTTGTGTGAACATGGAGAGTAACCGGGTGGGAGGGGACTTCAGAGGAAGCAGGGCAGGCCTGAGAGATGAGGGCAGTGGGGTGGGGAAGTGGGGGGCAGGACTGTAGGCAGGGGGGACAAAGGCCCTGGGGCAGAGAAGAGCTCTGGATGTTTGAGGAAAAGAGGTGCAGGCATGTGATGGGGCTGGAGGTGGGCTGGGCCCACAGCAAGGATTTTGGACTTTGTTCTAAGGTCATAGGGAGATGTTTTCATCAGGAGAGTGGGTCGAATGTATGTCTTAAAGACACACAGACAGCTTCCCTACTGGTCCAGTGGTTAGAAATCCACCTTGCAATGCAGGGCGCGGGACACTGGTTCAATTCCTGGTCCAAGAAGATCCCACATGCCTGAGGGCAACTGCCTGAGAGCCACAACTACTGAGCCCACACACTGAAACTGGTGAAGCCTGTGTGCCTAGAGCCTGTGCTCGGCAACAAGAGAGGCCACCGCAACGAGAAGCCTGGGCACCACAATGAGTAGCCCCGGCTCGCCACAACGAGAGAAAGCTGACGTGCAGCTCCGAAGACCCACCACAGTCAACAAGTAAAAAAAGTAAATAAATCAATCTTAAAAAAATATATCATTAAACAAAAGACATGCAGAGAACAGGCTGCAGGCAGCCAGAAGTGTGGGGGTCGAGGGTGGCAGTGAGACATGAACTCATTTGCTGGATTTCAGAGGGAATTGGCTGCAGTCAGACCAAGATGTTGCACACCCACTAGGATGTTTATTCCTTCATTCCACTCAATGTTTATCGAGTGTCTTCTAGGGGAAACATACAGAACTTCTGTGTTCTGAAAGCCATAGGAAGAAAGTCCATCAAACGCACCCACCTACCTTCATGCAATGGCTGTTCTCAAAGAATTGTATGTAAACCCAATTTTAATGAATTTAATTATCAGTAGAATTTCCCCAGAGGCATTCAGTACTTAAAAGAAATCCAGGAAGTCCTGTTTTTAGCAAATGGTGGACCATGTTATTTTAAACCAATCTTCCTCCCGAGGAAAACAAGAGAAGCTGGACCTCACATGCAATAAGAGCTCGTTCAGGGCAGAGACACACCAGCGGCGCAGACTTGGGGGTGCTGGCTGGAAAGGGGAGCCCAGGCCTGGGGCCGTCTTTCCTCTTGAGATGTTTGCTGATTCCAAATCTGTTTCTGACAGCCGAAGAGCTACATGGATCTTTCAACAGACTGATGGGAATGGGGTGAAAACACTGAGCTTAGGGCTTGCTGTGGGTGTGTGTGTGGGAGCACCTGGAAAATGCTGATCTGGAAGGGCAGTGCACTTCCAGGGGTGAGGGTGAATGGGAAAGAGATGGCCTCGCAGGAGCACGGCTCTAGTTAAGGTGACTTAGGTTACCAGCATCCCTGGCAGGAGCAAAAGCACATCCTCCACAGAGAAAGGTATAGTCTCACACAGCCTGAAGTCACCACGGCAACTGCTCACATGCAGGGCTCCACCCGTGATGAACCAGGCACACAGGAAGACAAAACCTGTCTGAAAACAGAGGAAAAGAACTGACCAGGACCAGAGCAGGGGAGACTCTGA